CTAGTCCATTTTTGAGGTACAGTGTCTACCAGAGAGAGTTGGTAAATACAATATCTTGATATCAGTTAGGTAAAACTGATCACTCCCTCACCTGTAAAACTTTATACATCTTTCATTTCACTTCATACAGAATTCTAATATAGCATATATACATTGTTAGTTACAGTTTGTTGAATTTATGCCTTGCTTTGTTTAAAAAAGAGCTATGGCAATTACTTATGTGTTTACCTTCCTCCCCAAAGTGAGTGTGTCTTGAATAAATGTATCATGTCCATATACTACTCTCACTGTTTGATGAGATGATCTGAGTAGGATTTCAAATGTGTTATTATAAGTAAACTAGAGGCCCGTTGCATGAAGATATTCGTGCAATAGGCCTTCCTTACCTTGGCTTCCAGCACCGGTTTTCCTCCAGCACCTGGGACCCAGGCCTTCACTCCGGCCAGAGTCTGTCTTCTTCGTTTCTGCTGCAGACTCCGGCTGGAGTCTGCCATCTTTGCCTGGACTGCAGAGTCTTTGTCTTCATCTTCACTGTGGCCAGAGTGCGCTCCTGTAGATCCCTTTGCCCCCTGCCCTCCCTCTCATAGCAGGCATTCTGCCCTGCTGGACCACTCTGTGCCTGGATCAGTTAGGCAGCCATCATCTTTCTCCTTCTAATTTGCATATCTCCTCCTGATTGGCTGGTGGGCGTAGTGGACTGATGGTTAATTTGCATTTTCTCTTTTATTAGTGTAGACGAATCTAATATAAAGTTTGAGGGGATTATCTAGGAATTTATAATCACTCAGCCTGATTCTCTCCATTGGTAGATGAGAAAAACCAAAGCCTGGGAATAGAATAGTTAAGTGGTTTGCCAGAGGTTATCTAGCCAGACTCTGAAACTCACATCAATCAGTTCAGAGGCTAATCCACCACATCCACCTGCTTTTCAGAACCCAGTAATTTGATGTCCATCTCTTCTGCCTCACTACAGCTACTATTGTTAGTTAACAAACACTTTTGTGTTACTAAATCCAGTCACTGCTTTTTACCCTTGAAATACTTGACCCATTTGTGGTCTCTACCCTGCTGACCATCTCCATCTTATAATTCTTTCCTACCATGGCTTCAGAGGCATTCCCCCACCTACTTCTTTTTCTCTCTCTGGCCATTCTGCCTCAGATTTTTCTTGGCTTCTGTTCATCTACCATCCTTTTTAAGTGAGTGTTTTCTGGGCTCTATCTTTGGTCCTCTTTATTGTTTCTTCTCTATTTTCTCCCTGATCTATGCCTAGCACTTATATTACCAATAGTAAGTTAATGTCTTCCACAACTATTTTAACTCAATGTCACACCATTTACAGACCTGTGTAATTCTACTGCTCATTAGATAGTTCCCTCTAGAGGTTTCCTCCATCAAGTCACAGTCACATTGCAGTAATCTTGGAGGGAACCTAATTAATAGCACCCTTCTTTTCCAGACAAAGGAGAATGCAGCCAACGACCAACTATCATCTTCACCACTGACTGTATTAGTTTCCTATTGCAAAAAACTTACCACAAGCTGAGGAGCTTAAAACACAAATTTATTCTCATACAGTTTTGGAGATCAGTAATCCTAAAATCAAGACATTGACTGGGCTGTGTTCTTTTTTAAAAAATTATATTTTATTGATTTTACAGAGAGAAATGGAAAAGGACAAAGAGAAACATTGATCAGCTGCCTCCTCCTGCACACCCCACACTGGGGATGTGCCCGCAACCAAGGTACATGCTCTTGCCCGGAATTGAAACTGGGACCCTTGAGTCCACAGACCGACGCTCTATCCACTGAGCCAAACTGGCCAGGACATGGGCTGCATTCTTTCTGGGGACTCTAAGGGAAATTGTTTCCTTGCCTTTTCCAGCTAGAGCACATGTGTCAAACACAAGGCCCGCGGGCCAAATCCGTCCCGCCAGGCCTTGCAATGTGGCCCGCACCGCGCTGTCATCACTGCACTCCGCTGCGTTTCCATCACAATGACAGTTTATGACTGTTCAGTAAACCATTCGGCCCGTGATTTAGGCTGGATTTTAGATTTTGGCCCCTTCTCTGATTGAGTTCGACACCCCTAAGCTAGAGGATGACTGCATTCCTGGCTCCATCTTCAAAGCCAGTGGTGAGACTGTCTAAATCTCTCTGATCTCAGCTTTTATCATCCTATTTCCTTTTCTATGACTCTTCTGCCTCCAGCCCAGTCTGATTCCAAGACAATCTCCCAATTTCAAAATCCTTACCATGTAAGGTTAACATATTCACAGGTTCTAGAAGAGTAGGACATGAACATCTTTGGGCCATTATTCTGTACTAGAGGCCCGGTGCACAAAATTCCTACACAGGTGAGGTCCTTTGGGACGGCCTGTGGAGATTGGGCCCTAGCTCATGCTCCCCCCCAGCCTCACAGCCCCAGCCTGTGCCCCCAACCTTACAGCCCTGGTACCTCGCCTGGGCCTGGCGCCTCCCACTTACTGGCCCCAACCCCCACCTCTAGTTGCTATCTTGCAGGGTGACTGGCCAGTGATGGGGCCCTGCTTGCACATGCCTTGGCCTAGCACAGCCCACTTGCTGGCCCCACCCCCGCCTGCTGCCACTGGTCACTGTTATCATTGGGGCGATCAGTCAGGGCTGGGCCCCCTGCTCAGCTCTCTCAGCCGCTGGTCGTCACCTGCAGGGTGACCGGGGCCCCGCTTGCACCCGCCTTGGCTTGGTGCTGCCCGTACACCTGCTCTGCCATCCCACCAAGGTCCGTCTCTTGTTGCAGCTGGCAGTGTTTCTCTTGCTGCCACTGCAAGCACAGTGTCGCCAATGCCCACCATGTTCCGCACCAACCCCTGGTACTCAGCACATGCTATAGCAAGCAGTCAAACTCCCACTTAAGGGGACAATTTGCATATTAGAGTTTTATTACATAGGATACTACAACTGAAAAAGTATTGGATATTATCTGTAGACAGAGAGCTTCCTAATGCCAAACTCTGGAATTAAATAGGTTTACTGATTTTGTAGCCCTGCACCAGGCACCCTCAACCCCACCCCAAGGCCCTGCTCCTGGAGTTGTGTGAAGGCAGCTTCCTTTGGGTACACATTCTTTTTTTCTAAATTCACAAATCAGAAAGTCACTACTCAAGGGAGGAGTGAGCTGGGGGCAGGCACAGCGGGAGGCCACGAATATTAATAGATGTCACTGCATATGGAAGGAGACATCATGAGTGAAGAATAAGTGCTTCCCTGTGCTGCACCGTCAAGGCCAAGGGTGAACCTGAGTTGGGGCGGCTGAAAGGCTTAGAAAAGACAGACAAGAGAATGAAAGCTGGGTCTTGGTGAGACACCGCTCCCTCATGGAGACAGCACCACGGAATACAAACCATGTCTTTATTTTATAGCCAGATCTCACGAGGAAAAGTAAGGGCTGGTCAAGATGTTTACTACATTCTCGTGGGGTTCGATCTTACTCAATTACACGCACCTGATCAAGCTTTGTTTACCTGCAGCCTATATCAGTGAGGCACGTGGGCCACGTGTTTGGACCATAGGTTCAAGCTTACAACTCTAGCTGTTGGCTATACTTGTGCTGGAGGGCTCTGCCCTCCAAGCTGGGACTTGCACGTGGCCACGAGAGGACTGTGCCCTCTCATCAGTTCAAGACTTGAACCTGTCTAGCATACTGAAGCAGCGCCCCACACTTCCCCAATAAACGTATTTATATTTGAACTCATCCTCATAGCCCACACGTCTAGTCATCCCTCTAAGACTGCCACTACTAATAACTTAGATCAGAAACCTTTGGACACCCAGAAGACTCACTTTTCTTTGCATCGTTTCCACCATCTACCCCAGCAGCACCCATATTATTGTAGAAATCTGGCCTACACATTTATTCCCCTCAGTGCTGTTAATTCTACCACCTTAACAGCACTCACATCTATCCTTTCCCATTGCCAATGGTGATCATTGCCAATGATTCGGTTCTGCTCATTACTTCTTATCTGGAGTACAACAATGGCCTCAAAACTTAATCTCCCTGCCTCAAGCCTTATTCTTCCTGTCCATTTTCACGTTCACACCTTTACTCATGAAGCTTCTTTTGCCTGGAATTATGTCCTTTCCAGTTACTCCAAACTCCCACACTTGAATCTGACTGGAAGTCCATTCTTTTTTAGTTAATCCTCACTGGAGGATATTTTCTCTATTGATTTTCAGAGAGACTGGAAGGAAGGGTGATGAGAGAGAGATTCATCAATTGGCTGCCTGCCCCCATCCAGGCCAGGGATTGAGCCTGCAACCAAGGTACATGCATGCCCTTGACCAGAATTCACCCCATGACCCTTCAGTCTGAAGGCCTACCAGGGGTCCTCAAACTTTTTAAAGTGGGGGCCAGATCACGGTCCCTCAGAGAGCTGGAGGGCCGGACTATATGAACTACTAATTCCTACTGTAACACCTCACTGCCCAAAAAACCTGGCGGGCCGGATCAGACTCCTCTGCGGGCCACATGTTTAAAACTGAGCCAAACCAGCCAGGTATCGAAGTCCATTCTTAATTGCTTTTGTTTGACTGCCTTCTTTTAAAATAAAGCTTTACAGAGCACCTTTGCATACATTCTTTCCTTTCAGCTTCACAAAGCTCCAGCGTAGGCTGGGTGGGCATTGCTATCCATCCCTACTCACAGAAGGAGGAAACCAAGAGGCAGGGGACTTCAAGGCTGGGTCCATAACCCCCTCCTCCTGAGTCAGCGCGCACTCTGCCCCGTTGGTTTTACCCCTGTAAGAACCGTCCGCACTTGGCAGAAGTCTATGGCTTCCACGCTGGTCTAGACGAGGCCACTGCTCCCTCCACCACAGGCCGCGATCAAGCTGGTGACCTTCCCATCCGCCGTGATGAGATCGGTGACGCCATACAGCGACATGTGGTGATGTCACTTACCCGGAGCCAGGTGCCGGAAGGGCAGCCACACTCTGGGCCCCTGCTCCGCAGGGCAAAGGGTCGGGCGGGTGGGGAAAACCAGCAAAAACCCGCCTAACCTGCCGCCTGAGGCGGCCTGCGGGCCCCTAAACCCTCGGACCCCGCCCGCCAGCCGCCCAGCGGTTGCTAAGTGACGCCAGCGCGCCGAAGAGCGTGCGCGGTCACGGAGGAGTGCGTGAGAGCGGGCACCCGCCGCGGAGGCGGCGGCGGCGGAGGCGAGGACGGCGGCGACGGCAGGCGCCCGGGGGGCGGTGGCTACGAGGGGGCCGCGGGGCCGGCGGAAGTGGCCTCGGAGCCAGCGGCTGAGTCGCAGAACTTGGTCGGGGTGAGTAGCCCGGGACTCGCTGGGGAGGTGGGCCTGGCCGCACCTGCTGCGCGGGCCCGGGCGCGGGACTCACGCCCCCGCCGCACCTGCGCGCGCCACCCCACGCCCCTCCGCGGCTTCCTCCGAGGACGGGGGCTGACGAGGGTCAGTTTCTGGACGCGGCAGTTCAGGCAGCGGCCGCGAGGGGCCGGCGGAGATTATTGTGAAAGGTTTAGTGAGAAGTAGGTGTCTGAGGGCTCCGCCAGGCTCCCGGAATGAGTGAAGCCCGGAGGAGCCCGGGCACCCATAACGGCGCCTCATCCTCCCTGAGAAGGGGCGGCAGCCGGGACGAGAGGAGGCGGCCCCGCCAGGGACGCCGGGTTTGGGGTGCGGAAAGTTTGGCGCCGCCGGGGCCTTCCGCGCCCCCGCCGCCCGGGGACGAGGAGCCGGTCGTCAAGTTCCGAATTGTGAATCAGTGCGCGGCGCCGGACACACCCACGGCCTGGGGAAGGCGAGCTGTCAGAGGAGATAGGGGACCAGCCTGTTACCCAGAGCTCCCAGCTTCACATGTATGTGCACGTGCTTCATCCACACCTAAAACTTTGTCCGCTCTGGGCATTTTTATCACATAGTTGCCACAGCTTTGTGGCCAAGGGGCGGGTATCTATGTTCAGTCCTTCCTCATAGACTCAAACCAGCTGTTTTATTTCCCGGCATGGAGACACCGCTCTTTTTGGTTTTCTTAAACGTAGAACAGACTTGCTGTTCCCTGAGTAGAAAGTACAGATTCTTCTCAGCGTGCGGGTTGGAGGGTGTTGATGGTCAGGCAGGCCCGAGTGTGAGGGTGTGCTCTTTGGGGCGCTGAGCTCCTCATGGGTTGTCACCTGTGTGCTGGTTGTAGTTACCGTCCTTGGGAGACAGAATTGGAGGGAGAGAAGTCGGTCTCTTCTGACTGTTGATTGAGGCAATGCCTAGAATCTGTAGAAAGTTAAACTCTTCTGAAGTTTAATCATAATCTGTGCCAGAAAGTTACTTCTCTAAGATATCACTCAGCTGTAAAAGTTTGTGATTCAGTTTCATAACTGAGGATCTGTAAAGTATGTTGCCTGAAGTTCTTACATCAGGGAACCAGTAAAAAAACACCGTGCTCTGTCATACTTAGAGTGCTCAAAATTCAGTGTCTCTTGCTCACTAGAGTGTAACAGCATTTTAGGACAGGAATCATGTGTGTTTTCATCATGGCTATATATCTTCAGTACTTACAAAAGTGCTTGCCACAGAATAGGCAAGCAATAGATATTTGTTATATATCACGCTGTATAAGTGTTGTGTAGCAAGCATTTAGTTCAGTCCTAAAAGTAGTGAATACATGTGCTCCTCTCTCCAATATTATGTGACATATTTGTTGGGATTTCATATATATATATATTTGAGAGAGAATCATTGATCAGCTGCCTCCTGCACACCCCTCGCTGGGGTTGAGCCCCCAAACAAGGTGTGTGCCCTTGATGGGAATTGAACTCATGACCTTTAAGTCCATAGGCTGGCACTCTATCCACTGAGCCAAACCAGCCAAGGCGATTGTTAGGATTTCAAATGACATAGAAGACCTGGCTTTTTTTTTGCCCTTGAAGGGCAAACAGCCTGGTTAGGAAAAGATAATTATGAAACCAAATGGGGTAGTATGTAAACAAGTGCTCTGTGAGCTGCTACACTTTAAGTGCACTAGAAATTTAGAAAAGATAAAAGACTGTGGTGGGCTGAGTTAATGAACATTTTGGAAGAGGTAAGATTTGAGCTCATCTTTGGAAGAAGAGTAAAATTTGAATTAGAGAAGAGATAGAAATTAGATGTTGAGAAAATAGTGTGAATTTGTCTTTGGGGGATATACTAGTATTGAAGAGACACTTGGATGAGTGGAGCAGAAGGTCTCTGATAGGGGAATATGGAGATACAAAGTTTAGCAGATTGAGAGGGGAAAGTGTTAAGGTTCAGGCAGGCTTTATCAGCATCCCACTGATAATGAGGTAAAGTCCTCTTGCTGGATGGGATGGACCTTGTGCTACTCAAGTAGAGTTTTAACACATTGAAGGAATTTTACAGTTGACAACATTAGATTGTGCACTTCTGATTTCTATTACTTACTTGAATAAATGTCTAATTAATGTGCATGTATCTTATGTGTCAGCAGTGCATGTCCCCATTTCTAAAATCTACCTGAAGTGCTTGGCCCATTCCATTGGAAATTTATTGAAATGGTGTACCCAAAGCAATTATTCAGCTACTCTCACTCTCAGTGATACAGTTTTGAATAGGATTCTCTCTCGCTCATAGTGGCCTGTAAGGTTATTACTGCTGATCCTGTAAAGACAAAAACAATGTTACCTGTGGAATTGACCACTGAATGCATGGGTGGGTGAAACAACAAATTGATGTTTTGTTTTGTTTTTTCTCTCATCAATAAAAATTAAGAAAAATATTGACAAAAAGATTTGAGCAAATTAAAAATGGCTGCTGTTAAATATTGAATTTTTGGTTTCTACAGTATCTTTTGTTGTGGTTATGTTAAAATTCTTTTGAATGGTGTAAACCTGAAGTTGGATTGATAACCTAAGATGTATAAAGTTGCAACACTAAATGTTGCATTATTTAACAACTCAGCAAATATTTATTGGGTGCTGGCTATGGCTAGCAATATGTTGGGTGCTGGAAGAAAAAGAATAAGACACAGTATATTCCTGAGATACTAAGCATTTGTCTGAGGAGACAAACCACTAACCATGTTATATTATGATAAGAGTTAATTACTTTAGGAATGAATAAAATGCTGAGGGAGTAGATCACTTTACCTAGGAAAAAATTGATAGTGTCAGGAAAGAAGGATGAACTTAGTCCTGAAGGTTGAGTACAATTTTGCCACAAGTAAAAGGGAAAACAATTTTTCATCATATTCTAGGGAGAGGGGACAGACAGCATAAGCCAGTTGCCAAAGATTAAAATTGAATAGGGTTTTTGGAAAATCTTGAGTTGTTTCTTATAAGCTTGTTATATGGCAGGAGTGTTAAGACAGGAAAGGTATGGTTGGGACCCAATTATGAAGGGGTCTTCCATTCCATTCTTTTTTTATTTCAGTCATTGTATGTTTTAATTTCTAGTTGGTCCTTTTTCATATCCTTATCGGACTTTTCTAGGAAATTTTTGAAAAACCTTATAACCTTGATTTTGAAATCTAAATCCAGTTGTTTGTTTTCCTTCATTTCTCTTGTTTGTGATCTGTTTTTTTGTCTGCATTTTCGCTGTTTCCCTGATTTGGTAGGGTGGCTTTGTGTGCTAGGGGTCCTGTATGGTCCAGTGGGTCAGCCTCTCAGTTACCTGAGGTGGACACTCTTGTTGAACCCCTTTGTGAACTTTGTACACAAAGTGTACAGTCTTGTTGTAGTTAAGTCTTGATTGTTGTTGGTGTGACCTCCAGGCCAATTGGCTGTGAGGACCTGCTGTGTCTATAATGGAAGAACTGCTGCTGGAGACATGTTTATGGGGCAGGACTTGTTTCAGTGTGGCTTTGGTGCTCACTGAGTCTGCCTCTTGAATGTGTCACTTACGGATGTGAGGAGTTGAAATCTGGTGTCTTCTCACACTGACCACTAGATACACTAGCTTCTGGATCTCCAATGGGGTGCAGGCCAACTACTGTCTGAGGCCACCCAGCAGGAGCTACAGTAAGAACTACAGTTTTCTCCCCTTTGCTTGGGGTTTGGAGGTTTTGGAGCTGTCTGACCAGAGCTGCAGTTTGTTAGGTTAAGCTGCTCAGGCCATTTATATCCAAAAGCCACTGTGTGGAGCTTGAGTGGGGAGGGATCTCAGGGCATCACTAGGCTAGGGCGTGGCAAACAGCGATGGCTGCCAGTCAGCCATCTGTGTTTCCTCGGTTCCAAGTTTCTGCGTCCTGCGCCCCAGTGTAATAAACAGTTATTGCTGGGTGCACCTCTGCAAGAAAGTCACCCTCACTTTCCGACCCTATGGCTGACAGTCCAGCTTCTCTCCTTAGGAGTTTGGGTCCCCAGTGTCTCCCCAGAAACTGGAGTTCAGAGTAATCGGGAGCTTGTCTCCCTTTGGGTTGAAAAAAGCAGCACACCCAGTTGTCCATCACCAGCCCAATTCCGTGCCTCCGTACCTCAGCTTTTCAGAACTTGTGCACATTTCAATGGTCTTTTCTCTTTCCTTCTAGTTGTAGGAAAGAGATGTTTTACTTCTGCTGTGCAAAATTCTTTTTTTAAATGTTTTTTTTAAATAAATCTTTATTCATATTATTACAAATGTTCCTCTCCCTCCCCTTCCCCCCCAATTGCTCTCCTTCACCAGGTTTCCACCCCACCCTCTGCCCTTTCACCATCCCCCATTGTCCTCATCCATAGGTGCACAGTTTATGTTCAGTCTCTTCCCACATCCCCTTTTCCCCTTTTCCCCAAGAATTGTCAGTTCACTCCCCTTCCATACCTCTGATTCTATTATATTCAACAGTTAATATTATTCATCAGTTTTTTTAATTTCCTTGGCTTTTAGATTCACTTGTTGATAGTTACGTATTTGTTGTTCATAATTTTTATCTTTATTTACTTTCTCTTCCTAAAGAACCCCCTTCAGCAATTCATATAATTCTGGTTTGGTGTTGATGAACTCCTTTAGCTTTTTTTTATTAGTGAAGCTCTTTGTCTGGCTTTCGATTCTGAGTGATAGCTTTGCTGGATAGATTATTTTTGGCTGTAGGTTCTTACTATTCATCACCTTGAATATTTCTTGCCATTCCCGTCTGGCCTGCATGGTTTCTGTTGAGAAATCAGCTGACAAACATATAGGTGCTCCTTTTTAGGTAACTATCTGCTTTGCTCTTGCTGCTTTTAATATTCTTTATTTGTCTTTTGCTCTTGGAATTTTAATTATGATGTGTCTTGGTGTGGTCCTCTTTGGATTCCTTTTGTTTGGAGTTCTGTGCGCTTCCTGGACTTGTAAGTCTAATTCTT